GTGAACCAATTGGATGAAAAGCTTCAGTGCTTCATGAAGCTTCATCTGCCCATCACTAGATTATACTATGAAAAAGGAAAAGTTTTTAATTAAATTGCTAAGCAGATAAGCTACTCAGAAACACCACTGTGTTTGAGCAGGAACAGGAAGTGATACTCTACCACAAAGCGAGCAAACACCAAGTGACAGCGCCACCAAGATGTGTGCCACATTATAAATGTGGCACTTACTAAGGCACTCTGTCTTCTGCAGTTTGAGCCTGAGCTCTGTCTGAACTCTGTTTTGAACCTGAACTGAATCTGAAATTGACAAGCTGTGTAGTTGCACACCAGTGCTCATTTCACAGCTGGAATGTGACAGTCCAAACATTTTCCAAACAGATTCCAAGATCATCAGTTCAAACAATTGCACATAAATGCTTACAAGTTATTTGGATATGTCACCACTATATGCCCAGGTCTGCAAGACCCAAACTGTCACCCTCAGATAAGAAGAAACTGGTGAGTGAGCCCAAGGACAACCAAAGAGCGCCCAAGGATAAGGACAACCAAACGGTCAAAAAAATCCCTAAAAGCCCCAAATTATGACGGTATTTGTGATGACTGTACGTAAACTTCTGACCACAACTGTACTTTCCGCATCTGTGTGCATGTGAGGTAGTGTAGACCAAGTGGCTAGGAAGGCGATAAGTAGACAGCATTAACATCAGTTTCTTTTAAGTGTACTTTTATTTTTGGCATCTCTATTATACCATTTTAAAACCTGGTAGGCAAAATCTCACTTGCTTTCAACAGGACTTTACACACACCTGAACCTCATTAGTCTCTACCATTGAAAAATAGGTTGGACCAAACACTACAATTCTAATCAAAACACAGGAATACGATTATGCATCCAGTCGACAGACTAATTTACCCAGCTAAATGGCCTGAAAAGTAAAACACTGCATACAATACAACTCAAAAGGTTACTTTAAAGAAAATAAATAATACTATACAAAATTAAAAACCCTCTAGTTGGTTGTACCCAGTTGGGCACCAATGACATCATGACCCTATATAAACAAGTACTGGGCCGGCCCCTCCCACGCACCTGTTTTAGATCTAGGACCTGAACAAATGGATAAACATGGTAAGTATAACCAAAGCAACATAAGCAAACATAATTTATTAGAAATTTACCTGTGAACAGAAAAATTCAAAAGACTTGATGGTTAGTATAGTATTTGCTTTAGAAACATATGCATGGATGTAATGGATGTAACTAATGCTACCACAAACTAACCCGGGATAGTATGTAAAGCAAAGGTACACCAGCAATGTCTAAATTAAAGCATTATGGTCAACTGTAAAAAAACAAACAAGGGATAAATTATCAATATGGTAGAGGGAGAAGTGATAAATGAGTTCAAGCAGAGCTACTTTGTCACAGTGCACCAGAGGGTCCCAGTAATGATGTTTATCTTGAGAATCTGAGGTTTTGTAACCCTCATTTGCTAAGAAACAAACTGCATATGGGCTGAAAAACCAGAATGGACACTGAATGTGAAAAGCAGCTGTCTGTTTCTACTTACATGTGTACCAATAATCTTTAAACGGACAGAGACAAACAAATATGCATTAAGTCATGTTGTCCATGTGCACTAAACAATAGTCAACATCTCCATGACCATGGTATACTGTTGTGAACTGGAATCTTATACATTATATTGCCAAAAGTATTCACTCAGCCATGCAAGTCACTGAATACAGGTGTTCGTCATTTCCATGGCTACAGGTAAAATCAAGCATGCTTCTACATGCCTAGGTGGATAGCTCTCTGGGGCTCAGTGAATTTCTGTGCCAGGATGCCACCTGTGCAACTGTGAAATTGTGTCCACTTGTGAAGTTTCTTTATTACTAAATATTTTGCAGTCAACTATTAGCGGTTTTATAATAAAGTGGAAACAACTGGGAAGGACAGCAACAGTCATTAAAATAGTAGGCGATGTAAAATCACAGAGCGGGGTCAGCGACATCACTACAGGCCTCCAAAGTTCATGTGGCGTACAGATTGGCTCACGAACAGTTCATTGAGCGCTTCATGCAATGAGTTTCACTGGCTGAGCAGTTGCATCCAAGCTTTACATCACCAAATACAATGCAAAGCATCTGATGCAGTGGTTATAAGGAACACTCTTGGCTGTGATGTCAAGGCAATCTCTTTCTGTCACAGGTCAGTCACACACATACATCTATCTATCCATACATTGTGTGTGTACACACACACACACACTAACAAGACGGTTCAGCAGTTCATGGCAAAACTTATAGCACTGTGATCTGCACTGTTGCCTAACTGCATGAAGGGCCTGAGCTCAAACTAACTGGGGTCTGTTTAAATTTAAATATTATTTCATTTGTTTTTATGTGTTTCAGTTGGTTGGGCCACATACACACACAAACCATCGAAGTCATTTAAATATTATATGGTACGGTGAGAAAGCTAGCTGTATCCTTGAGTGTCGTTTTACACAGCTGTGAGCTGACTGCATCTGTGATGTCAAATGATTTAAAGCAATACATGACTTAATTTGTACTTTGTGCGTGTCTGTTTTTGTTTTTACTTTCTTTTTTCCATTCTTTACGTCATTATGAGTGTGCTACCATAGCTGGTAAAAAGTGGGCGGATACTTTTTTAAATTGCATATTCACTTGTGGGTTGTT